AAAAAAACTAATTCTAAAGGAAAATTCGTATTTCTTATCTCTTGCAATATTTACGAAGTTACTTATGGATCCGCTTTGAGAAATTGCCAAAAAGTGTGGATTACTTCAAGAAATGCAGAATAGGCCTAGTATCACCCTATCCCAGTAGTACCTTATGAGGGGTGTTCGGGTACACAAGAACACCGTTCACTCCAACAATACGCTGGCCCATACGAAGACCAGCTCGGTCTCCAATTCCACCTTGGTCAACTGTACCAATAAAATGGCCACGGCCTTTCTCTGCGTGAAGGTTGAAGCCAAATTCTTCGGATTGTGAAGATTTCTCCTAAAACTCACAATAATAACATCCACATCACTTAAAATCAATAATTTTTTAAAATTAAAATTAGCCTAAAACCACTTACCAATTTACATAGACGAGGTCTTGGCTTATTCATGTTTGGCTCTTCGTGTGGCGGTGGTGGTGCAACGAACACTGGATCGGCTGTCTATAAAATGCAACCGATAAGAGGGTACACATTTCTTTTCTACTGAATCAATCAATTTCGATTAAATTAGATTCTTGCTTTCTTTTCCATCGAAGGCTATTAAGTGGACATGGAAATTTCTAAAATAGTAGATAGTATAATTTTAGCACTTACAAGTTGACTTGAAACTATACCGCTTTGTGATTAACTGTCTTATAACTTACTTACTCCAATTTAGACCCACTTATTTAAATAATCAGATAGCAAGTTTACACTAAGATTGCTCTCTCTCTTTGATTGTACATTAGTAATTAATACAGGAATTCCAATTGAGTTTGTTTTAGCCACCAAGAGCAGCACCCGATATTTGGATTGTTATCGAAGCAAAGTATACATGGTGCGATTGCACATCACACCAATATAGAGAAAATTTGTGAAGTGAGATAACGACCAAAAGTCGCTGACACTTACACCATGTGCACATACATTGAAATCTACTCGGCCATGTTTTTAAGGCGATAAGGTAGTAGAGTTTGTTAGCTGCAGATATTTGTGCATTTTAGAGTTTACTGTAGATAGTCCTTCCTTCCTTATGCAAACGATCAACGGCATGATAAGTTTTTGATAAGGAATTTCTCTGGCTGATCAGAAAAAAAGAAGTTCTTCACGAGGAAAAAAAAAACAGGAGAAGAGGGATCCGATAGGGAAGAATCAGAAAAAACAACATAGGCTGGCTAGGCTGCTTCTGGAGCGTGAGCTTGCGTAGACGGGCTGCGAGAAAGCCGCGTCACATCTGCGAGAGCGCAGATTTGGCATTCTTCCAGGTCCCAGCTAAGAGAATTCTCAAAAAATACAAGTAAATAAGGCGGAAGAAGGCGCGAAACAAAAAATTTCACAACACTAGTTGATATATCACAAGCTACAAGTCTCCAGCGCTGCAACGGCTAATAAGTTACCGTTTATAGAAAACCATTTCGAAATGAAATGCACATTCCAATCGCAAAAATCATGCCCATGTACTTGTTTATCAGCGACAAATGTACGAATCAGGTATTAAAAGCACTTATTTGCTTTATGAAACGATAATAAGTACATTTTCAAGCTATGTGGATTATTTGGCTTTTCAAACTACTTCAGTAGTATTAAATATGCATATTGAAAAATTTTGTAAATCAATATAAATACAGTATAAATTTCTTCTTTACTAGTTTTTATAGAACATCATCTTTCAGTTCTATGGACAATATATGAGTAGGGTAGAGAGACCCATACTCCATACGGTATGACAAATCAGTGCCATAAATGCAGATAGTACATTGGTATTCATGAATAGACATTGATGCATGGTAATCATAACAATGGGATATTTACTACTGAAAAAAACCATATACTTTTATTTCAAAATTCGTGGCCCTATTGTAATTGCAAGTCATTGTTGCATTGCCCTCTTGGCGTAATTCCACGAATTTGTTTTCATTTCCTCAGACGAAGAAAAGCACGAAAATCGCGCCGTATGATTAAAAACTAAACTTTGGAAAGAGGCTTTACGTTTCCATTTTCTGGATTTGTTGTTTGCTGTGTATTTACACCATACACAACCAATCTATACA